AACGAGCTGCTGAAAAGGGCAGAGACAGGACAGCGAGTTACACAGAATCCACACCTCAAACAAGTGTCCACCAGTGCAAAACTATAACAGCTATCTAAAAAATAAGACGTTTGTGAAAGACCCAAGACTCTACCGAATTCATGGATGCGTTTTTTATGTCTGTCCGGTAATAAATACGGCTCCTGTCGCAGTTTACAAAACGTGTACCTTCTGTTTTTTTTGAGAAATATGTTGGCAGATTTGTATTGGAGCCTATGGGGCTTTTGGCAGAGGTTGTGTCACTCTAACACTCAGAAAGCCAAAACTAAAGAAGTCTGGGATTCCATGAACACATTAATCCAATCAGCACAACCATGCCATCATTAATCCAAAGAAATTAAGCCTCAAAAGTGTATACTTTGGCTGCAAGGACAGAAGTTCCATATTTTTTTAACCAGATTCTGACGCTGCCCCACACTCTAGCCCTCGAGGTCTCACTCTGGCAGAGGCAACACACACTCATGTAAAACTCAGAAACGGAGAGAAGAACTTGTGAAACATAATCAGTGATTATGAAAAAAGTAGAATAGATATCAACAAGCAGTTTCTTTCATAAAACAGTTGAGACTTTTGAAATGGTGTCTGTAGCTGAAAGATTGGCGAAGCTGAAAAATCTGAAAGTTGAAGAACTTAAGAGGATTTGAACACGATCTCCATTGGAAAACCATTAGAAGAAATATTCATGATTACTGATTTATATAAATTCAAGCTTAAGAGGTAGAAAGCTGAAGTCATAGCCCCCCTCCCGGGAAAGAGCTGAATATTTTAACATTTGAATGGTTTTAATAGCTGAATGTGTGAAGGAGTTTAAAGGTGCCACGGAAGAAATAGAAGAATAAGTTGATTAAAGATTCTGTCACAAGCAGACGTTCCCCGTCTCCGGAATACTAAAGTCCGAAGCTCGGGATCTCAGTCACCCCTCTGTGGCACGTGACAGTGTTTATGCCACTCAGGATCAGCCCACTGAGCGGGCACGGCCACTCCCACCAACGCAGCTGTGGCTCGTCTCTCATCAGGAGAGGTTGGGCATTTAAGCTGCCGAAGCCTCAGAAGCCGGTGCGAAGTCGCGTGCATGTTACCATCACATTCTGAGCGTTCTCCTGATATTCTGTTTCTGCCTACCTGTTATTGACCTGTCCTTTGTCCCAGACCTCGTTCACGCCAGCCTGACCCTCGACGGTACCTCTGCCTACCTCCGCGCTCCCGGCTTTCGACCCCTGCCTGTTCACCGGACCCAACCAGACTCAGCAGAGGCGCAGCGTTTCCCTCGCCGGTGGAAACGTCCGACCCGGATCAGCAGACTGGAGGAGACCCCAGTATGCCTCAGGTCATTGAGCATCTCGCCGCGGTCCAAACCGAGCAGGGCCAACGACTCGGCCAAATCGGGGAAGCCTTAAACACCCTAGCAGCAGCTCTTCAGGAGCTCAAGCAGCACGCGGAGCATACGTCCGCGCGGGCGGCCGCCCATACTGCTTCAGCCGGAGTTTCTGCTGCCATGGAAAACCCCGCACCGGCAATACCGCAGTCAGCACCTCATCTAGCGCCACCTCAGCGTTATGACGGTAGCCCCGAGTCCTGCAGAGGTTTCCTGACCCAGTGCTCCCTGGTGTTTGAATTACAGGCTCCACAGTTTATTTCAGGGTGGCCTTTATTATCTCTAGGCTCACAGGGAGAGCTTTAGAGTGGGCCACTGCAGTGTGGGGCCAACAGAATCCTGTCTGTTCAGACCATGAGAGGTTCATGCAACAGCTAAGACAGGTGTTTGATCACCCCTATAGTGTGCAGGAGGCTGCCAGCCGCCTCTTGAAGCTGCGCCAGGGACAACGGGCGGTGGCTGATTTTGCTATAGACTTCAGGACCCTGGTGGCAGAGAGCAGATTGGAGGAGTCTGCTCTGATCACCACCTTTTATCATAGCCTTGGTGACTCTCTTAAGGACGAACTGGTGAACAGGGACTGGGGTAATACCCTTGAGGGCCTCATCAGTCTGGCCGCTCAACTCGACCGTCGCAGGAGAGAGAGACAGCAGGAAAAGAGCTCCAGGAGCGGGGAGGGTCATCATTCCAGGGGCCTCCCACACTCCACCTCCGCGGCTGCTCCTGGTTCGGAGGGAGAGCCAATGCAACGCGGGGGGACTCGACTGTCTCCAGAGGAGCGCGAGCGACTGAGGGTTGAGGGTTTATGCTTCTACTGCGGGAGGACTGGACACTACCGGAACACCTGCCCGCATCGGGGAACCAGAGGTCAACCACTGACTGTGAGCACGCTTCTCTGTCCCAACATTTCCTCGCACCAATGTCTGTTGTCGGTCACTATCATCGGGAGTAAGGGGCGAGTAACCGTTCCAGCATTAGTAGACTCAGGGTCTGCAGGGAATTTCATTAGTCGACGTCTAGTGCAACATCTTCAACTAGCTACGTCGCCCTGCTCTCCGCCGCTCCCGATTACGGCCATTAACAATCAGCCTCTCGGGTCAGGTCTCATCTCGCAGGCTACAGTCCCGGTTACCCTGGTTGTGGGTGTTTTGCACTCTGAAAGACTATCTTTGCTAGTTATTGACGACATAACGAATGAAGTTATCTTAGGCTTGCCATGGCTGGCTTTCCACGAACCACAGATTTCCTGGACCAATAATGAATTGCTCCGTTGGAGCGACAAGTGTGTCTCCCAGTGCCTGGTTAAACCCATTAGAGCAGCCACCATCAGGAGCCCAGCCGCCGCGGCCCCACCAGGGGTTCCCTCTGTCTACCTGGATCTCACAGCGGTATTCAGCAAGACGAGCGCCGAATGCTTGCCACCACACAGACCAGGGGACTGTGCCATAGACCTGATGTCAGGAGCTACTCTACCCCGAGGTAGGATCTTTCCCCTATCTTTGCCAGAATCACAGGCCATGGAGAATTATGTGGAAGAGGCTCTCGCCAAGGGTTTCATTCCCCCCTCCACATCACCCGCAGCGTCGAGCTTCTTCTTTGTGAAGAAGGAGGATGGCGGGCTTCGACCATGTATTGATTATAGGGGGTTGAACGCCACCACCATTAAGTACCGATACCCCCTGCCGTTGGTGCCTGCGGCTGTAGAACAACTACGAGAGGCCTAGGTATATACCAAACTCCGCCGGAATCTGGTGCGTTACAGATTCGAAGAACAATACTTGGAATGCTTAATGCATTCCAACAATGATGAGGGGATGTGCAAAGGACTGACCGGTAAGTTTGGATGACTGAGTCTTTTGAACAAAGCCCGACTGCCGACGGGAAGAAACTGTTTGTGTGGCGTGAGGTCTTGGTCTTGATGGACCTCAGCCTACTACCAGACGGAAGGAACACAAACTGTTTTTGTCCGGGGTGAGAGGCGGCAGCCAATCACCCTCTCTGCAGAGCGAATGACCTTGTCCTTGGCTGGGGCTGCAACATACCAGATAGAATGGACTTAATGATGGGAGTGTAAGTGCACCGTCATTGTCTTTGGCAGGTTGACTAACAGGGCTGGTAGGGCTGCTTTCTTCCTGAAATCCACTACCATCTCCACTGTCTTCAGAGCGTTAAGCTCCAAATTGTTTTGACTGCACCAGGTCACCAGATGGTTAGATTCCCACTCGCAGGTGAACGAAGGGGAAAGAACGCAGCCCTTGAGGGGAACCGGTGCTTATGGTCCGAGAGGCTGAGACATGTTTCACAAGTGTCCGACAGGAAATCTGTGATCCACTTGCAGTCGGAGTCGGGCACCAGCAGCTGGGCGTGTTTGTCCTGCAGCAGAGACTGGAGGATAGTGTTGAAGTCCACAAACAGGATTCTGGCAAAGAGCTTATTTAAAGTGACCTGAAGAGTTAGTAGATGTATGAATTGTATTAGTTTGTTAATGGAGCTTTTGGAAAAATGATTTAAGCATGCCCACACAGGTTATGTAAAGTTAAGATAACTTTTCTGTCACATCCAAATGCTTTTATGAAACAAAACATACCTGTCAGTATGCCTATACCTGACCCAATACAGATTGAAACATTAACATTTACCTGCACCTCTACCAGTTTTTTGGGGGAAAATAAGATCATATAACAACAATATGATTAGGAAATAGTTGATTCTTTTGGAGTCATGATGACATTGCAATGTAATGCTCATTAGGTTGTAAAAAAAAACAATAAGGGAATTGGTTTGGCTGTATTAAACCACACTGTAGGTGACAGAAAGAGACTGAACCGCTTTAACATATCCTGCCTGTTATTTGCCACCCAAAAACTAGGAAAAGAGTATGTGCTCTGTATTTGGTAAATATTTCAGTGTGGACAGAGATCTTTACAAACAAATTGGAAAATACTAGTGTGGACATTTCAGCAATCCAGATGGCTTTTTGTGTAGTTTGAGATAGTTCCTCACAGTTTGCTTTCATTTGCAAAATAAGTAATGTGTGATACAAAAATTATGGTGCTTGAAAAAAAAAATCATGAAAAACACATTCATATGATCCGTATTATTACCAATGGGAATGATGACCAAATGATAAGAAGAAACAGCCTTTTTGAACCAAATCTGCAGTGAATATTAAGTAACAGGCTTAAAGACCTACCAAAACTGCTGTCCTGCTGCTCAAAAATCAGTGTTGACTTTTAACATGTACACTGTACACTAAATGCCAGTCAAATGCCAATTAAATTATATTTCTCTCAACAAGCTTTAGGATCTGTTCAACACAATTGAATAGAAAACAGAAAAAATAAGGGAGAGAAAAGATGAACAAAACATAAGGATTCCAGAAAATACTTGCATGCATGCACATTTTATACACACAGATGCACTGCCTAATCAGCAATCCCAATTTCTAACAGCAGCAGCAGCAGGACACCAACCAGCAACAAGCAGCTCTTTGAATGAACTGTGACAAGGTGTTGTTCTTTTCCCCCTCCCTCTGTCTTCTGTCTTCCGGGAACACTAATAGGCTCCATGCAGGGTAATGTGACCAATTGAATCATCCTCGTCCTGGAGCTGGAAGCTGAAGATCGGAGGAGCTGATTGCACCGTGCTAAATCTGGCTGCTACACTGAGAAAAATCTATTTTGAGTGGAACTAGCAGTTTCTGAACGGGATTCCTCTGGGATTTAACATCCCATACTCCAAAGACCTTGTGGCAGCCTTTCTATCTGCCTCGACTCCTTTACCCATTAGGGAGACCCAGACCAGCTTTAAGGTGAAAAAGATCAGAGGGCCGTCTTTATCCCACACTGAAGCTCTAGGTGAGTACAAATTCCACAATTTTCTTTTAGGCAGAAATAAAGCACTGATATCAAGAGAATGAGTGAATAATCAACCGAAATCTGATCAGGATCTCTTAAGTACCCTGAGCAATGTAACTTATAGGATCCATAGATTTGTCAGGATTTGGGTGGATCAATGTATAGACTTTGTAAACTACAAAGAATGCTGTTAAGAAACAGTTTACTAACTATTTTTATCAGCCAAAACACTTCTAGAATTGATAGGTGGTAATCTGACAGTTGCTAATGCAGCTTTAGATAACAAGCATTGTCACAAGGGCATCTGAAAGTCAAGGCAAACACAATACGTATTATTACCACAATACCACATGATCAAATAGATGTGTTTCCTTTTAAAGATATTTACAGTTTTTGATGCAGTGCCGTTAACAGGGATATAAGTGAACAGCTGTAGACTCAATGTTACATAAACCCCTCTGCACCCCTCCGAGTAAGCAACAAGGAGACACTTCCACAAACTTGCTCTCTTACCACAGATAGCTTAGAGACAGGAAAATGGCTGACTAGACATTGTCACGTGTAGCAATCATTATAACTACAGTAAGACATATTCTCCCAGCCGGAGGGACTTTACTATTACAAAGTGTTCTTTGTGAGTTGTTAAGGAAAAGGAGGAAATACTGAAAAAATACTGAAAAAAACTTAATGCGTTTAATGTTTTATGGAATAATGCTTCAAGTTGTTAAAAAGTTTTTTGCCACATTTACACATAGTTAAACATCAGTGCATACAGTATGTGAAAGTGATCAAATACTGGGTTTATTAGAGTACTTTTTCTCTGATTTTAATCACTTAACTCACAAGCAACTACCTTGTCTTCTAAAATATCAAGTCATATACTACTGATTTCCTTCTGCAAATTATTTGTCATAGGGGAATATTCCCCTTCCAATTCATTATAAACAATTTTGTTAAATGTTTTCCTCTTCATTTATTAAGCGATAGTTATCTTAGTAATTAATCTTTATTGTATATGCTATATACAATATAAAATTAATTAAAATATTTAAGATTGGTTAAGGTCAATGTGGACAGATGGTGGCCTTGGTTTAACATTTAGCAACGTTATGTTTAGTTTTCACTAGAACGATCATCTTTCCCCAACTACAAAGTACATGTAGGCCAATGTCCCCTCACATATACACACACAAAATTATATAAACTTAGATCAGTGCTCATATAGAAGCATTGTATTGCATTTAGATCCTGTTGTATGTACTTATATTCTTACAGCCAGTGTGGTGACGACTGACACAATGAGATATCTGCAAAATTAAATTTATGCGCTACTTATTTGAAATAGCTGTTTGGTTTTTGAAGTGAAAATAATGCCCCCAAATTACGTTTAATTAGAAAAAACATGTTGTGGTGACCGATGAGTATCCGCCACACTAGTACAATGACTTCCCAACCAGCACATGTCTCTCCTGCTGAATTTGTTCTCGGGCCACTGCTTGAAGCCTTTTAACCAAATTGAAAACACATTTAACTGATTAATAGTACATCGTAGTATTGTTTCAGCGTATGTCCCTGAAAACTCTGTAAATTGGTGTTAAAATGAATTTTTTATTCTGCTGTCCCTAGTTAATAACTACTGAACGTTTTTTTCCAAAACACATAACTATTGTTTGTATTATTAGACTTTAATTTAGTTTAAACATTCAAGGGTGTGTTGTTTTCTATTGCTAATCTATGATGTTATAAAACTACTTCTATAATGTTAACGTCACTCATCTTGTCGATACCATTAAGTCTCACAATCTCCCTACTTTTTGTATTTGAAAGCTTTGCAAAGTTTTCAACAAATGCATTAGAAGAAGTTGCAAGTGCATAATAAATGCATGCGTAAACTACTAATGAATACATATTGTAATTGGGCAACAAGCTGAGTGGAGAGCCGTAAGCAGTAAGTTTAAAGCGCCCTGCAGATGAAAGATGCATTCCTACTCTGCATGTTGCTGTGTTCCTCAGAAAGATTCCCAGCTGGGACCTGCTCTAATCTCCTGGCAACAATATTGACATAGAAATAGAAACTCTGACAAGTACAGGGTTCTAGCTGTCTGCCTGTCAAGACTGCCTTCGCATGCATCTGGTGCTTCGCGTTCCTCTACATATAATTCAAGTTTGAATTAGAAACTGTAAATACAATTTAACCTTGGGATTTAATGGAACAGTTCCAGTAGACTTAAGAAATATAAAGATATCAGTTTCTTCTGGTTTGGTGAAGGCTAACCTAGATCTATTATTAATCCCAAATATGAGTAAATTTTAAATGATATAATAATTCATTTATATTAAATACACATTCTAAACAATATGTAAAAGTCATTATCGGCACAGTTCCTACTACTCTTGTTTGTGATTAAAGTACAAGACTTGGGGTTGACATTGGACTCAATTTATAAATATCTCTGACATTTTTCCACCTTTGCTAGAACATGCTCAGCACATATGATAGCAATCATCATGGGGGTCGTCTTGGCACAGGGGTTAGAGAAGGTGTGCTGGGAAGGTGTGCTGGGAAGCACAAGGTTGGTGGTTCGATTCCAAGCTGCCCCATGTTCCATGTCGAAGTGTCCCTGAGCAAGACACCTAACCCCTAATTGCTCCCCAGGCAAAATGTGAAAAAGCCATGGGTTTAAAGTGTAATGTAAGTCGCTTTGGATAAAAGCGTCTGCTAAATGACCTGTACTGTACTACTGTACTGTACTACTGTACTGTACAATCCTCATGATAGATTAAGATGCTGACAATAAGCCTATAATCTATCTTTCTAAATTATGGAAACTTAGTTTCTCATAGTTTTGCCAGGTAACAGAGATGTTTCTTGTGCAGCCACTCCTTCAATCAATGACAATACTATTTCATATTCCCTTGCACTGGACACAAATATACAACACTAATATTTATATTTACTGAGATCATCTTATTAACGATCCTGTCTCTGTTTTTAACATTTCTATTTAGGGCTTTAGATCCACCTCCAACCATGACAACCAAATCCAACAGCATCAATCTAGATGGAAAGGCTTCCTCCTCTCCTCTTTTGTCCTCTCCACCCCGCCAACGCCTGGTCACCAAAGACGGACACTGTGCCCTTCGCCCACCTCTGTGCTCTTCAGGCTCTTGGCGCGGGGCCTTGGGCAGAGCCTGGTTGCTCGCCCTACAGGACCTCTGGGGACTGTTGGTGGGTCTGCGCTGGAGATGGGTCCTTCTGGCCTTCTGCTCCTCCTTCCTGGCCCATTGGCTGCTGTTTGCCTGTATGTGGTACTTGCTGGCCCACCTAAATGGAGACCTGGCTGTGCAGGACCATGATGCCCCCCCACAGGGGCATGTGGTTTGTGTGAAGCACATAACAAGTTTTACTGCTGCTTTTTCCTTTTCCCTGGAAACACAGCTGACCATTGGCTATGGCACAATGTTCCCAAGTGGTGACTGTCCCAGTGCCATAGCACTGCTGGCTGTGCAAATGCTGCTGGGTCTCATGCTGGAAGCATTCATCACAGGTATGAGTCTTATTTGTAAAACCTTCTCCCTACAAAAGTGAAGGTCATAGTCTCAATTGCATATTGAATGCACCCATTTGGAGCAAAACTGGAACTAAAACTAAGACAAATGACCAAACAGGTAAGAACATTTTAAGAAAATTGTTTTCAGGACATTATATTTTAATAACTGTGGGTTGTTTGGGTTTTAAATCAAAGTCTCTTAGCTTACCAATTTGTGTTAACGTTTACATTACATGTCATTTAGCTGACGCTTTTATCCAAAGCGACTTACAATAAGTGCATTCAACCATAGGGGTACAAACTCAGATGAACAAGAAAGTGCAGTTTCCTCAAATAAGCCAATTTACAATTTGCTATAGATGAGTGGCTTTACAAGCACAATTTAAGTGCTACAATTTGTTAGTCTTTTAGTCGAGGTAGAGTCTGAAGAGGTGTGTCTTTAGTTTGCGGCGGAAGATGTGAAGGCTCTCTGCGGTCCTGGTGTCTTCAGAGAGCTCGTTCCACCATTTCCACCAAAGAGTCGTGATCTAGTCGAGTGTTTTGCTCTAAGTGAGGGAGGGACGAGCAGTTTTGCAGATGCAGAGCGGAGAGTGTGGGCCGGGATGTAGGGTTTGACCATCTCCTGAATGTAAGCTGGACCCGATCCATTCACAGCATGGTACGTGAGCATGAATGTTTTGAATTGGATGCGGGCAGCCACCGGTAGCCAGTGAAGAGAGCGGAGGAGTGGAGTAGTGTGAATTTCGGAAGGTTAAAGACCAGTCGAGCTGCTGCATTCTGGATGAGCTGCAAAGGTCGAATGGCGGTGGCAGGGAGACGCAGTAGTCCAGGCGTGAGATGACAAGAGCCTGAATCAGTACCTGGGCAGCCTTCTGAGTGAGAAGAGGACGTATTCTCCTGATGTTGTAGAGCGTGTATCTACAGGATACATCAATTCTTACACACCAGTTCACTTATCTATTAAACCCCTTGCCATATCTTGACACATAGCATGGAGAGGATCTTGAAAGGTTTGCTGTTGGGTTAAATATTGGCCAATTATTACATTGAAAGAGTGTACTATCTGTTGTTAGTAACCTTATAAGTTGATGAAATACTGAGCCACTTTGAATACTTAATTGTGTGACATCTGCTGGGCAACCCATGGAATTGCATATATATGGTAGGATCAAATCAAAGTCTATGATTGAAAAGTTCTTTTATAATTAGTCTCAAAGCTTTCCCTTTCAATATTTTTTCAGCAAATAATTTTAAAAAACTGACTACTTTTAAAAAGCCATTATCACATTTTTCTGATAATTTTAATAAAGTTTTTGTATTACTAGATAAAGTATCACCATTTCCATCAACTACTACACACTGCTGTATCAGAATTAACACTAGTTTAATGTTGTATTGAACAATATTAAACTCTGCAATTTTACTTAAGCAGTTTCTAAATTAAGGACTTCTAATAAAGTATTTTAACAATGTGGAGCTGTCGCTTAAATCATAATAAAATCACAATTTGGTGTTTATTTTGGCTGTTCCTGTGCAACAAACCCGCAGGGATTTGAAGCACCCTATTTCCCCTTTAGAAAATTTCTCATTTTACCGCAGCAGAGTCTGACAGTCTGCGGTGCACAGACCTAGTTCTAGTTCTTGTTTGATTCCCCTCCCTCCAACAGGTCTACCCATACAGCCTCTGTCTACAGTGATGTCATTATTAGACCATTTTGATCTCCTACAAATATTAATAGTATTTCTCTCGCCCCGACGTTCATGGTTGGAAAGAAAAGCCTGGGAAACTGTAATTATTATGGAGCCGCTCAAAGGTTCGTCCAAAAGTAATACGCCATAATGAGGGGACATACTCAACGAATATGTCTGAAGAACATTCTGTTGTATTACCGACTGGCCAGAGCGTGAGGTCTTTAGCTGCATGAGAAAAATATTTTTTAAGCAAAATATGATAGTAAAAACATCTCTTGATTATATAAAATTCTCCTAACCTTCAGGTGCATTCGTTGCCAAGATTGCACGTCCCCAGAAGAGAGCAGGAGCTATCCAGTTCAGCCCTCAGGCAGTGGTGGGGCAATACCAGGGGCAGATGTGCCTCATGCTGCGAGCCACCAACATGCTGCAGCGACCTCTGGTGGATGTAAAAGTGAGTGCTGTGCTCTATAAGGAACATGAAGGTCAGGCTCTGCACCAGACCTCTCTGGACTTCCACTTGGATCAACTAGGACAGCAGCCCTGTCCTTTCTTCATTTTCCCACTCACCTTTTACCACCCCCTGGACCGCCAAAGTCCCCTATATCCCACTCTGTGTGAGGGCACATCCAACCACTTTGAGTTGGTGGTCTTTCTGTCAGCCTTGCAGGAGGGAACTGGTGACTCCTGCCAGAAGAGGACCTCTTACCTGCGCCAAGAAATCCAGTTCGACCGCCGCTTTGTCCCTGCCTTAGGGATGGATGCTCGGGGAAGATACATGGTGAGCACCCAGCACTTTGACACAACCCACTCAAAGGAGTCTTTGAACAAGGATTGTGTGGTGCAGATAAATGGTGATGGCAGCGACAGAATGGAGTAGGAATGCTAGTTCGGAGTTTTGGGGATAATAAAAATGGGGTAGATATTTTTGTCAGGACGTACTTGATTTAGTTTGATGAATCTAAATATGTTTCTTAAGATTTGAAATTAAAATGTCTATCAGATATAGGTGCTGCTTCAGACTGCTTCAGTTTCTTCCTCCAATCAATCAGAATTAAATATTTATAAGATAATTGGATAGCCTAGTGCAACATTCAGAGTATTACTCCTGTCAATCATCAACATATCCATCTGTGTTGGTTGGGAGGCCTAGCCAACAGGGAGAAAAGCTTCTAGGGAATTTAGTGTGAACAAATTGTTTATTAATAACTATTAAGATAACATAATCTTTAGGCCACAAACAACCATCACAGTTTACAGAGCTACTTCCTCCCTGCAACTTAGAACTGTTATACTTAATGTGGTTGTTTGCATATCAACCCCACCACACTAGTGTGATAAATAATGTGTTTGGATGACGGCTCATGTTTTGGGATTTTTTTTTTTTTTAAATCTGTGGACCTAATTTCAGACTTTAGCATTGCAATAATGTGTGCAATGTTGTCACATCAGATATAGCTGATGGCCAAAACAATGATTACAAAATAATTTAAGTTTACTCGTAAATTTAATCAAAATTCAATTACATGTCAGTGATCAATTTCTCGTTGTGAATACTGAGAATACTGATGATGCAATAGATCCACAGATATTCAAGACCAGCTCCTTTCCCCTGATCTGTCATCTTATTTTTCTAAACCAAAGTAAAAAAAACCCATGTGTTTGTGACTTAATATATGCTATGATCAGATTTTTTTTTTTTTGAATTTTTTTGTTGGATACAATGAAGTTTAATCATGTAGTAAGAGCATTTCCAGATTATGAACCACACATTTGGGTATACAACTTCAATTAGAATACCCCTTGGGACAAACACCAACCCATAGGCTGTATTCAGTTTACATATTCTCCCTGTGCTTGCATGGATTTACTCCAATGCATTCACTACACTGTGAATATCATTTTATGGATGATTGAATAACCAATAGCATCTCTCCTTTTGATGTTGTCAATGGTGAAGTCAGAGTAATGCAGTTCTACATGCGCATTACATAGCAAACCAAATCAAATTGAATCCAGAGGCTGCCTGTAAGATAAGAAAACCATGACCCCACAGCTATGCTTGTGACCCTGTCTGCGCAGAAATGCTTTCAGCTAAATGCTAACATGCTCACAATGGCTAAATCTAAATGTCAACCATTTGGACTTGGGCTGCCACCTCTCCCAGACTCTATTAGGAAAGGTAAAATCATGCAAATGCAGGGGGCCCTGAGAAATTTGTGGAAAGGGCCCCTTGATGGATGTTTTGCAACAACAACTACATTACTGGCACAATGCATACGGATAGTAGAGACATATCCCTTTAAATATTTTGGGAGGGCAAAAAAGTCCCTTCCAATATTTCAGCAAACTTGTTTCCATTATCTTAAGAGTGAACATAGACAATACACACACATTCACACAGAGTGAGAAGCAAAAGCAGAATAGTTGGTTGATGAAGATACATTGGATTCTTGTGGGACTGCATATTGAGTGTTGAATGTTTTGGACAAATTAGCAAAATTCACATGATCTTTTAAATCCCATTGGTACTATACAAATTGAAATTATTAATCTTTTCTGCATTGACATTTAATTGTTCAGAGCCAATACCTTTTCATGTATAGAATTGTCACTGGTTTGTTGAAACCTTTTACCATTACATGAATCAAGGCATATTAAATATCAAATGATTAGGGGTGTAACGATTCATTTTAACAACAATTCGATTCGAATCACGATTCATGGTTGCCGATTCGATTCATGGACGATCTGGGTTAATTTAGAACGATTCGATTCAGTGACTTGAAATCGATTCAGTAACTTTACTGGACAGTGCAGGCAAAGTTTCTGAGATCCCTGTTGTTTCCTGTAAGGAAATCAGGTTTATCAGTCGTCTCCTCCACGCTGTGTTTTCTTGTTGTTCCGAGTTTCGCGCGGCTGCTGCTGCGTACTGACGACGTCACAGACAGGCAGACTGAATCGAGTAACGTTTAACGTGTCTAAAGTGCTAAAAACAAACAAACACACATCCATACCGTTTTTGTACTTAAATCCAATGTGCAGTTTCAAGTATCGATACAATCGATTATGTACCATTTCAATCGATTTGTAATCGATATATGTCGTCCGGAATGCCGATTTGCGGAGCACAGATCGATTCAGTTGGATCGTAGGAATATTAATCGATTCAGTGAATGAATCGTTACACCCCTAAAAATGATGCATGAAAAAAATATACGAGAGGTCAAGTAATGAATTGATAGGTGTTCAAAATATCCAGGAGGCGGACCCTCAGAGGACTTACTGAATAGGTGTTCAACAAATGTTCTCAAACAAGTTCACATTCAAATGGGCCTTGACAGCGTCATCAGAGGCTGCCAACTTGCACAGACCCGGGGAGGGGGACGGCAGGTGTGGCAAGATAATGAGGGGGACTTGAGATGAGTGTAATTTCTCACAAGTAGGGACACCCCCTGTTAAATTGCTTCATGAAAATGGGCACTATAATGTGACAGACTAAGGTGAAAAGATAAATACATCTTACAAGATCTCCAGACATATGTTTACCATGTCTACTATCTTAGTCAAACAGGTTGGCATTCGAAAATCTACGCATTACATGTTTATTAGTACCGCTCAGGTTGGTGGGAAAGCCATTGATTTTGCAGGTATTTGGTCGTAAACCAGTTGTGAAAAACAGAAATTTGGCCATGTAATGGAACTTGCGGGAAAGTAAGTAGGTTCCATGGAACCTGTGGAACATTGATTTCTATCCAAATAGTTTTTGACATATTTCTGTGTGGTTGAGGGTGGTGAACCCACCCACCAACCAAGAAATTTACACGATACGATCTTATAGCCTTTTCTGGAAATTAACTTCATTTTGGATTTTCTGAATGTTTCTATAAAATTGAAGTTCGTATTTTCCTTTCAAAAGAGTTTTAAGTGGAGAAGGAAACGGAAAATGCTGGTTGGTAAATTGAAAGTATTGAAAGTACAAAAAAGGAAGGGACATAATTGACGTCTATCATGTATGTAAAGGGCATTCATATTGCTGATCAATATTTTATCCTCAAGTTGTGGACTAGCATAACATATGGATTAAAATGTAGATTGTCAACATGTGCTTACAATTCCAGCACACCAACAAATGTTTGTAAACTACTAAAGTTATAATTTATAAGCAAATTTTTAAAAAGACAGGAGCTATTTAACATTAGACTGCAGACCTGTATATTGATGAGAAGTGGTTGCTGATTGATTTAGATTCATGCCTTTTAATTGATTACATGATGACTTAAATAATTACAGAACGTGAAATCAATGTATTATGTTGATTTTGTGCGTTTGTATGTTTCTAGGTTTAGCAAAGACATTTAAGTTTGGAAGCAGCCAAAAAGTAGTGAAGGTATGTTCGTATTTGGAGTATTTCCCCTTAAAAAGGCTGTTAATATGAAAAGTATTATCTACGTGGTTTGAAAGAAATCATTTAGTTACGTCAGACATGAGAAAGGAAATCTTTAAAAAAGTGATGCTGCAGGAAAAGATCTTGTATCTCTCGTGCTTCAGTGCCTTTTGTACAGTGTACATTCCATGAAATAAATATTTTCTAAACAAACTTGGAAGTGACTTTCATTTAATTTAGCTTCAAAAATCAATGACAGCCGACTGTTCGGAATGTAGGTATCTGCAGTTCTGATTTATGGCAATATGTCAAAATAAACAACTTAAGTGATACCGTCATGAATTGACGCTGCGAGCTGCGATGGACAGGTCCTCGCTACTCTGCGGCGCTGGCCGGCAGAGGAGGCCTGGGACCGTCGGAAAAAGCGGCAAGTACTGGTGTCAACAATGTATTCAAAATAAAAATAACATTGTTGTATTTTTTAATGATCAACAACAAAACGTTAACTTTCAGGTTCACATGTTTTTCAAATGAACACAACTTTTGACCTGGATTTGGCTCCATAATGGTGCGTTCACACCAAAAGTGAATTTTCGCCCCGCTTTAAGGCTAGTGCATGCGTCTGCGTCGTTGCGTCGACGCACTCATTTCAATTCATGGTTCTAAAAGTCTTGCTTGTGTTGTAGAGCAATTTACCGCCAGAACAACAGGCGGAGTAACATGTTTTTGTTGAAGACTACCGAGAGAGTCACGTCTATTTATTTATTTGTTTATTTATTTATCATAGACTTTATTGCCCCGTGCATCGCCACTGTTGCTTTTCATCATAGACACATTTGTCCCGTATTCTCCTCCACAACTTTGTACACCTCTCGACCGGCAAACCGGCATTTGCGGCAATCTCCCTCCGTGAATCCAACCCGCTTCTACAACCCGCCAATGACGGCTTGTATAAGCGGTCATATTTACGCTTTTCTTCCGACAAAAGTTCTTCAATCTGATCCGTTCTCTCGTAAACATTCTTCGTTTTAATAATGGCGGAATCGGGCTATGAAAGCGGAAATGTGAGACTCCTTAAAGGATGTAGTTAGCGGACCAATCGCAGCCTGGTGTGCTGCGGGAGGCTTGCGTCGCCATTCCAGCGCTGCTTCAGGCGGACCAGCAGCCGGTCTGATGACCTGTTGTGTCTGTTGTGAGTCTCTCGGTTAGACACAAACTAACTTACAGGCGTTGAGTCTCAGCTGTAGCAGTGTGTGTCTCCGGTGAGCGGCCGTTCAATAAAGTGTATTCACGCTTTGGCAGCAGGATGGCGGTGATGACGAGCGGAGCAACTCAACACTGATTAGCTTTCGCTAGACACACTCAGCGTTGAGTTGCTCTGCTTGTCAGTTGAAATATTTCAACTTTGGGCGAAAGACAGATTTATTGTTGGAATGCATTAAGCATTCCAAGTATTGTTCTTCAAATTTTTATTCAACATCCATCCATCCATTTTCAACCGCTTATCCGGGGTCGGGTCGCGGGGGCAACAGCTCCAGCAGGGGACCCCAAACTTCCCTTTTCCGGGCCACATCTACCAGCTCTGACTGGGGGATCCCAAGGCGTTCCCAGGCCAGTGCAGAGATATAATCTCTCCACCTAGTCCTGGGTCTTCCCCGGGGCCTCTTCCCAGCTGGCCGTGCCTGGAACAC